AGGGGAAAATTGTGTTGTTCGGTGTAGATGACGTGGACATGTTTAAGGGTATTGGTTTGAAGTTTGAAGCCTTTGGGCAGCTTTTGGAAGATATAGGGGAAGTGCTGTTTTGGTTCAAATTATGAACTCCCCGAGGATTCAGGGAAATGATATCCAATGAGGTTCAAATTAATTTCACCGAATATTACAAAATAATGAGAATCAAGACTCTACTGTAAAGCCTCGACGGGAAGCTTCGCCTGAGGAAAAGGATGGTGCTCAACGTATAAAGCCTATTTAACATCAACATGGTCGAATAACTGCTGAAATTTTGAGGCAAATGAATAGGATAGCTTGGTTCTGTTGCTTCTACGTTTGGTGGACTGGCGGTGTGTTTTTGGTTGGATACTCTTCTTATTCTGGTCTCTGGTCTTCTTTTTGCTGGAGTTTCGTTGGTATGCAGGGATGTTCGTGGTGTTCTTGGCTACGTGGTGGATGATGGTGATAATGGTGGCAGAATCGATGGTGTTGCAGGCCACGGGTAATGGACAGGAGGCCTGAGTTAATAGCTCAGTGAATTGGCTTGAGTTATGAATGGTGAAATTGTTTGGGTAGTAGTGGGCTTGAGTTTAATTTGGGCCAATAGTTTTAGTATTGGCAGTGGGCATTGGTTTTGTGTTAATGTTGGGCTTATGTTTATAGCTTGTGTTTTGATTAAAATAATTGGGCTTATTATATTAGGTTTGCTATTTAACGTGGACTGCTTTTGAGTGGTAATTTGTTTGGGTTGCAATCTAGCTTCTTTTGTGACTTGGTTATGTTTATTGGGGTGTTGGAGTAATTGGGTCAATTATTTAATTGGTTTGATTTTATTGTGGATTGTTAGCTTGTGTGGGTTGAAAATTTTGATTTGGGCCATGGGTTTTGTTGGCTATTCAGTGTTTTGTTTTTAGGTCGTAAGAGTTGTTGTTGGTGGCTTTTGTTCGGAGTTGGGTCTTTTCTCCTCTTAAGCTTGTTTGGAGTTTTTCTTTAAGTTTTTGGTTTTAGTAGGTAATCTGGAATTTGGTTTAGTATATGCCATGTTCATGGAATTGGAAATTTGGTTTGGTATATGCTCAGTTCACGGGATTGGAAATTTGGATTGGTATATGCCCGATTCACGGGATTGGAAATTTGGTTTGGTACATGTACAGTTTATCTGAAATTTGGTTTGGTACATGTCCAGTTCATCTGGAATTTGATTTGGTGTTGATTCGGTATATCCGAAATTTGAAATTTACATCCAGTTCATTTGGTATTTGTGGAGCTGAAATATGAAATTTGCATTGGTTTGGTTAAATTGGTGGACGATGATTTTTCATTATCATCAACTTTGAGTTATTTGTTCGGCTTAGTTGACATACAAGCAATTTTGAAGATTTGATTTATGTAGACCGGCACTATTTTCCTACATTTTGTCTCTTCATCGTTGTAGCTTGATAACTTCTTCACGAAGTCACATCCAGTTCATCGTTTCGTTTCTTGCTGGCAAACTCTCGATACTTCTTACAGCTGCATCATGAGTTTGAGGGGAGATATTAATAAATATATAATGATTTTATTTTAGAGTCTGTTTGGTAAAAATTCTCATTTTCTACAGTAAATCAATTCTCATTTTTAACCACACATTCTTCAATAAAATAATATTTTCCATCACATCAATACTTTTTTCTTCTTTTTCAACCATACATTTCCCATCATATCACTATTCAAAAATCAATTCTTCCCCCGAAAATCTCTACCAAACACACTCTTATTATTTATTAAATGTGGAATAGTCTTTTCAATTTCCTTTAATTAGCCTATATATAGTCTCTTTTTTCTAGGTTAAATCATTCTTTTGTATTCAATTGCATTATGCAAAATTAATAAAACCTTAGCTTCCTTTTCTTTTTCTTTAATTCTTTGAATTATTTAACAAAAAGGTGAAGGAAGAAAGGAAGGAAGTCAAATATCATTAAGCATCTTTTTGTTCTAATCCTTTCCTTTTAAAGTGGCATCCCCTTATTCTCTCGTATATTTAAGTAGAGAAAGAAATTATAGCATTTTCTTTCTTTTTAAAAAAAAAAATTATTGATCCATGAAAGTTTTTTTCTAAATACAAAGAAATGAACCAATTTCAAATGACAGAAAACTTTATAAACAATCAGATAGGTTGTTGCTCGTAAAATAAAACTCAATTCTCCAGTGTAGAAAATGCTGGGTTCCTCTCTGTATATCCAGTCCCTTCAGCATTTCTTCCACTAAAAGTTTTGTACAGCATTTCCATCCCAAATATTTAAGCAAATCTTGCAGTTTCATACAGCATATATAACCTAAAAAGCTGGATTCTTGCTGCATTTGGCCTGTTACAGAGCTTGTCATTGAGCATCAGTACGCAATTATAGCAGTTGATAAATCACCTTTGCATAGGAGAAGGCCAATCACGGGGTTGAACTGGCTGTTTTCGGCTATTGTTTTGTGAAATTTGGCATTGGATGATTGTGTCACCAAGGTGCCGCAAAGGGACCCAATTGCTTGACAACCCCGTTGGATCTGCTAAAGACTGCTTTACAGAACCTTTATAAACTATGGTGTGTGGTTGGGTGCAGATTTGGATAGTGGGATGAACTCAAAACTAATAGTTAAAGTGATTAAAAAGAGATACAAAAAAGAACAAGAATTTTTGGTTAAAACCAAAATCCATTGATGGATGAATCAAATAACTGTTTCTTTCGGAGGAATTAAGAATGAGAAACAATGCAGGGTCTGAGAGAATTCTTGGTTTCTTCCTCTATTTTCTAAAGGTAGTCTTGATTTTGAGTTTTGTTGTGTCTAGTTAAAAGAACAGCCTTGTGTGTACGATGGCCATTTCATAATAGGGTGTATAATGTATATTAGTTTTCCTTTTTTTTTTTTCCATTTTTTTGAGTAGAGATGGCGCGACTTGATTTTGAATAGACCTTAGTCCATTCTCACACTTAGCTTCCTTTTGTTGTCTTGAAAAACATATAAACTTGGAACCTCTACAACGGAGCAATTATGTGGGCCAGCCCATATTTAGGCCACACTGCATTGGGCCAAGCCTAAAGCGTTAAGCCTTGAGTAGTATAGAGACACCTTAGATGGGTGAAAGGTGCACTTGAGAACTTGAAGTAAGTAATTTTTATTTGTGAGTGAAATTGTTATGCATGCTCCCTCATGGATGCCACATGCAACTCTCATCAGATGCCACTTGGGATTCAATTACCACATAAGATTGTCGCTGAACTTATCTTTAGATGAATAAACCAAAGAATCAAACTTACCAATTGAATGTACAAGTATGCTCGAGTATGATAGACCACCCAAGGCCGAAGGTGTACCTCAAGGTGTCCCAACCCTCTCAAATGAGGGCCAATCGAAGGATTGGCCTCACCATTAGATGTACAAGTAGGGTTGATGGCCTAAGATTAGAAAGTTTGCCTCATGTCTCAGTGACCTGAATGTGTCGTTAGCAATTCAACTTTCATCGTTCGTTCGCCAGGTACACAGTCGAAGGAACAAATGATGAACTAAGTGTCTTAGAAGACCATAGGTTATTTGCTCCCTAAGAACTATCATGGTGGCAATGGAGTTCTCGACAATGACTTTTCAAAAGAGGAAAAATTTCTATGTTACTGTACTTCATTATAAATATTTTCCCAATAAAGAAAATTCGGTGAAAAACGTAACATCCTTAAGATGCTAAGCAAGGGCACGACCTGCAAGTACCGCATAACGTCTACATGAAGTAAAAAAATTAAAGATATGATAATAACAAGATCCGCAATAGTCGAAAGTCCAAACCAACTAGTTTAATAGTCGAAATGTTAAGATTACCTCTAACTCAAATTTAATATAAACATTCCAATTAAAACATTGGCCATTTATCTCACTCACAATCAATTATGATATTTTTTACTATACCATTGATGGCTTGGAGGAATAGCAAATTGGTGGCGACAAAGTTGGAGTTTCCGCTCAGAAAAGTTTCGTTGTTTGAGGTTTGAGAGATTATGAATTTAGGAAGGCGTCTGGAGGTTAGATACAGGAATGACAAGCACATCTCTTGGAGTTCTTGCACATAAAAGTTGCGTTGTTTGAGGTTTGAGGGATTATGAATTTAGGAAGGCGTCTGGAGGTGGTTGGGACTTTGAGGGTTTGAATTTGAAATAATACATTGAAGTGATGTTTAAAAACAAATATTGAATACAATTAAAATTAATGGGCTAAACACGTTTTATGGTCTATACCAAAATTATGGCTATTGGGCTGACTTCAATTAATATAAAATCAATTTCATAAAAAAAATAAAATTATAAATTAAGTTTTGTTCTCGATTTGGTTCTTGGTTTTAGAATCGGAACCGAACCAAAATTATAACCAAATGGTTTTTTGTTCGAAGAACCAAAACTATTAATTTTTTTTGTAAAATCGAATCGAACCGCTTGATTTGGTTCGGTTCGGTTCGGTTCGGTTCGATTCTGGTTTGGTTTGATTTGGTCTGAATATTTTGCCCACCCCTGAGATTTACCAATCAAAGAATCATAATATAGAAGTAACAAGTAGGTATAGAGATGGAAAATGTCATCGAAGTGCGAACACTTGGAAAAAAAATAAAAGTACTATATTTATAAAAACAAAAATCGAATTAAAATATTGGATTTTAAGAATACATTCTTGATTCCTAACGTAAGATGCTGTAGAATTAGTGAATGAATTGGACACCAAATTAAGCAATGTTTCCCTCCACAGATTTGCGCGTTTTCCATAATGAAAACAGTCGGTGATCTTTCACATCTGTCTCTCCCTTTCCTTTCCTCCGCCCCCACTTTTCCACATCAAACTTTTTTCTCTGCAGTACAATTATACCTACACGAAACATGTATAAGTCTGAAAATCTAAATCTGGGTGCATTCTGAATTTCACCTTCTTTCTCTTTCATTCTGATTTTATTCTAATAGAAATTAGAAACCAAAAAAATGCATGCAATAAAAGAGAGAGTTTCGGAAACGCTATCACGATTTTTTTCGGACTCCCCATCATCTCAAACGCCAGATCAAGAATCCGAGGTACCCTTTTTGGTTTTTCCTTTTATGGGTCTTCAGAATTATGTGAATCTTTGTTTGAATTGATTGTGAGATTTTTTATGATTCTGAAATTGTTTCTTGTGTCTGATCTGTGAAAAAAAAAATCTGGGTTTGAGTTTTGGATATAATGTGTGTGTAAATATGTTCAATTCCGCGAATGCTTGAGAATATTTTTTTAGCTTATGATGTTAATTGAGTTTATAATTCGATTTCGTTTGACATGCTAATAGACTTGATAAAACGAGATCAGCTGGCCTTTTACATTTTCTGAATTTTAACTCCTTGTCTGGGTAATGTAAATCTTCTTTTCAAGTATTACCTTTTTGGATTGAAATGGATTCTGAAATTAACTATTTTGATGAAATGGTTTTATACTACCCGTTTGACACCCATTAATTTCTCTTTCTCATTTTCATTTTTATTCTCATTCTCATTCTCATTCTTCATTTCAAACACACATTCTCCAAATAAAATAATATTACACACAAATCAAAAAAATTTCATCACTTTTTCACCACACATTCTCACATCAATCACTATTCCAAAATTTCTATTCTCTTCTAAAATAGATTCAAACACAAGCAGTTCTGTATCTAGGAGGAAAAAACAGCTCCTTTTGATCTCGTTAAAAGAAGAAACACACACACATATCCAAAATGAATCATATAGCATATAGTTTACAAATAAAACATGTTATTTTGACAGTCATCTAATAGCATTGCTGCTAAGTACCAACAACACTGTGAAAAAGGGAATTGTTCTTCGTCAACATTTTCTAGTTTGCTAATATGATAATGTTCTATACGAGTATCCCCCCAGTGTGCTAATCAAGTAATGTAGTGTTTTGCAACATCACTCAAGTAGTGAGCAGAAACTATGGACCTTATGTTGACCACCTCAAGGGGAAGTCTTAGGAAAATGTCAAGATTCTTGCAAAACGGACAGGATTTTGGTAGGTTTTTCATTCACGAGATTTTCTCGAAGCCTACTGTTATTAAAGACAATTCTTAAAATGTACAACGGGAATCGTGACTACGAATCAGAGATACATCATAATCATTGATATTTTACTTGAATGAGCTAAATGCATATTGCAAAAAACTATATTGCTGGATTAATAAACCAGTTAGCTACTCATGTTGGTCTACCAAAAATATATTTAAAAAATCTTATTCCTTTTTCCTTAGTGGGAGTACAATTTCTCTTCATTGGTGTCAATAAATATTGTCATATAGTAATATAAAGTGCATGAAATATATTATTTTTTTAAAAAAGAAATATTAAATGAATTGATACTTTTGCCGGTTTCAAGAAAAATGATAGAAGATAGCTTCTTCTATGTAGCTAAAATATTATTATTGAGAAAGAGCAATAATTTATTTCAAGAAAGAGCAATAATTTATTTCTCCTTGAAGAAAATATAAGCCAACACAACAAGAAATTCAACTTTTGAAACACTAAGTCTCGACCGTCAAACTGGGTCCTTCAAAAAATTCTAGATTTCAACGAGATGGTAGGTGTGTCATGTGATGGGTACGAAGATAGGCTTTTACAACTATTCGAGGAATTGGAGGCTAATAGGGGAGATGAATTGGGTACATCAAGAGGAAAGACAAGGAGAAAGGGGGATCGGGAGCTTAAACGTCTCAAATGCTCGGTAAATTATGATATCAGCGGTGGAGAATTAAGGAGAGGTCACATGGGGACGGATGACGAAATGTTTAGATGATTCCAAAAATAATTAGTTGGAATGTGAGGGGGCTTAATGAAGTTAGGAAACGATTGGGTGTTGGGAATCTATTAAGAGGATGGAGGACTGGCCTTGTATGCCTACAAGAAACAAAGTTGGAGGTCATTTCGAGGGTAGTGTGTAGTCTTTGGGGGTGACAGCATGTAGGATATCAGTTTGCGAGATCATCGGGGGCTTCAGGAGGAGTGCTAGTTATGTGGGACACCAGGGTTTTTGATATGGAGGAGGTGTGTGAAGGGTTATTTTCTCTATCGCTTTCGTTTAGAAATATTGGGGATAACTTTCGTTGGATGTTTATAGGAGTTTATGGGCCCAATGTGGATGAAAGTAGAGGTGGATTGTCGGATGAATTGGTGGAACATCCCAACGTGTATTGGTAGCAATTTTAATGTAGTTCGATTTCCCACTGAGAGGTCCAGTGGGGGGGGGGGAGATTAACAGGGGCAATGGAGGATTTTTCAGGCTTTATCAGGGAAAATATGTTGGTGGACTTGCCTTTGATTGGGGGGAATTTACTTGGTCATCCAATCGAGACCAATCGAGACCAACCGGTCCTATCCCGTATAGATTGGTTTTTTATTTGTAGGGAGTGGGAGGCTAAGTACCCAGAGGTCACGCAGAGGAGATTGGGGAGGTTGTATTCAGATCATTTTCCCATTTCGTTAGCTGGGAATGCAAAACACAGTGGCAGAAGACTTTTTAGGTTCGAGAGGATGTGGCTAAAGGTAGAAGGTTTTGGGGAACAAGTACGGAATTGGTGGGCATCTTATGACTTCAGGGAGTCTCCTAGTTATGTGTTAGATCGTATTTGTGGGCATCCTATAACTTCAGGGGGTCTCCTAGTTATGTGCTAGATAGGAAATTGAAGGCTTTGAAAAATGATCTTAAGAGGTGGAATGAGGAGGTGGTGGGAGATGTTATCTATCGCAAAAATCAATGCCTATCTAATATAGACGAGTTTCATAGGAGGTAAGAGAGTGGGGGACTGGTAGGGGACGATAGGGCGAGACGGGGAGAATTAAGAGAAGAGGTGGAGAGGTTGGTGGAGATGGAGGAGATTGTCCGGCGTCAGAAATCTAGGGTCAAGTGGTTGAAAGAAGGGGACAAATGTACTCAATTTTTCCACAAAGTAGCTAATTCCAACAGGCGAAACAATGTTATCAATATGTTGGAGGTTGATGGGGGTCAGCTATGAGGATCCACGGGATATCGGGACCCATATGGTATACTTTTATCAGAATCTTTATCGTGAGCAGCTGGATTAGAGGCCAAAACGGCTTGATTTTTCCACAATTACTGAGGAGGATGCTAATTGGTTAGAGAGACCATTTGGGGAAGATGAAATTAAGGAGGTGGTGTTCAGTATGAATGACGATAAAGCCCCTAGACTTGATGGATTTTCTTTCTCATTCTATAAGGCTTGCTGGGAAGTGGTGCGATCGGACATTGTGGAGGTTCTTACCTATTTCTTTCAGCGTGGAAGATTCTTAAAGAGTACCAATGCTACGTTTATTGTCCTGATTCCTAAAAAACCAGGAGCGACGGATATTAAGGACTTTCGTTCTATTAGCTTGGTGAGTGGGGTGCATAGTTTGAAAAAACGTAAACGGGTACTGAGACCTTTTTTGGTCGTAAGGCGAGGCGTAAGCCTCACCACAAATAAAACAGGTGCAATCTGGCCTCGATGGACTGAACAAGAAAAGTCAAGCAATGTCTAGTGAAACAATTGTAAATTGTAAGTCACTAGAAGAAGGTAGAAGTAAAGGAGAAAAGAGACATAGAAGCAGCACTTGAGAACATCTTTTAAGCGAAGGATTGAAGATAAGTTTTCTGGCTGTCGTTTAGTTCTGGGAAAATTTCTGACTGTCGTGTAGAAAGATTTTTGGCTGCCTTTTGGTATTCTAGATATTTTAATATTTTGTTTGGCCCAAAATGTCTTTTTAAATGGGCCCTTCTCTTTTTTAAAGATTGCCTTTTTTAATTCCTTTTCAAAAACCTGAAAAAAATACTTTAAATGAGGCGCACGCCTCATTTTTTTGCCTCAGATGTAGAGGTGTGTGCCTTATTTTTTTTGCCTCACAGATTGAGTCTCGAGGCATAGAAGCTGCGCCTCACAGTGAGGCTAGCCTCAAGGCAGGCCTCAACAGTCCACTTTATTGCGAAGATTTTGGCGAATAGATTGAAGGAGGTGCTGGGGAAAGTGGTGTCTAACTTTCAGAATGCCTTCGTCAAAGGGTGCCGGATTTTGGATTCCGTACTTATAGCAAATGAATGCATTGATTTAAGATTGCGACTATGGGTTCCAGGAATGTTGTGTAAGCTCGACATTCAGAAGGTTTATGATTACGTTAACTGGGGATTTGTTTTGTATATGCTTAGGCGATGTGGCATTGGGGAGAAGTGGTGCCAGTGGATTCAGTTTTGTATCTCTACGGCTTCATTCTCAGTTATGGACATTCCGGAGGGTTTTTTCGTAGCAGTAGAGGATTGAGGCAAGGGGATCCTCTGTCTCCATTGCTGTTTGTCATTGTTATGGAAGCACTTAGTAGAATGATTGAGAAGGCTGTGGGACAAAGTTTGTTAAAGGGCTTTGCTGTTGAGCAGTTGCAGGTTTCTCATTTGCTATTTGCAGATGATACGCTGATTTTCTGTGATGCGGATGATGAGCAATTCAAGAATTTGCGTCGTTTACTCTTGTGTTTTGGAATCGTTTCTGGATTGAAAATAAATTTGTGAAAGTCTGAGGCTATCATAGTGGGAGAGGTCGATAATGTGGAGGGGTGAGCTGCCTTGGGCTGCAGGGTGGCACAATTGCCTATGACATATCTTGTGATTCCTTTAGGACCTCGGTTTAAAAGCACACAAATTTGGAACAGTATTGTGGAAAGGATTGAGAGAAGGTTAGCTGGTTGGAAACGTATGTATCTTTCAAAGGGGGGTCGCCTTACTCTCATAAAGTCCACTTTGTCGAAACTCCCTACTTATTTCTTGTCATTGTTTCCCATTCCTGTTGCAATGGCAAAACGACTAGAGAGGTTCCAAAGGGAGTTTCTTTGGGGAGGACTAGGGGAGGAGAGGAAACTACATTTGGTTAACTGGCGTACAGTTTGTTCTCCTATTGGTTTCGGTGGTCTCGAAGTAAGAAGTCTTGTACTGTTCAATATAGCTTTGTTGGGTAAATGGTTGTGGCGATTCGGAGCGAAGAGGGAGAGTTTTTGGAGAGATATTATAGGGGCAAATTATGGTGTTTTGGAGGTGGGATGGTGCTCATGTGAGAGACATGGTTCTTATGGGGTAAGTTTGTGGCGGTATATCCGGCGAGGGTGGAGTGACTTTCGGGATCGGTTGTCTTTTGTAGTGGGAAATGGAAATACCATCAGTTTTTGGGATGATTGGTGTGGAGATCAACCGCTTAAGGTGGGATTTACTTCTTTGTACCGTATTGCATTGGAGTCGTATGACATGGTGCATGATGTCTTAGATATCCATAATGGGAGCCCTAGTTAGAACATTGTTTTTGGCCGGAGGCCCAGAGTTTGCAGGACTAGGAATTGGATGATTATGCGCTGCTTTTGACATTATTATACGAGGTACATATCAGGGTGGGAGAAGGTGATTGTAGCGGATGGAGGTTGACACGAGATGGTATTTTTTCAGTTCGCACTTATTTTAGATCTTTGTTGGGTCCTGTAAAGAGTTTATTCCCCTGAAAGATGGTCTAGAAGTGTAAACTGCCCCCACGCGTGGCTTTTTTTACTTTGGACGGTGGTCAGAGGACGGGTTCTAAAGGTGGATAACCTCCATACAAAGGGGTTTTATGTTACAGAGTGGTGCTATATGTGTAAGTGGGATGGGGAGACAATTGATCACTTATTCCTTCATTGTGATATTGCTCGTTTACTGTGGAACAATATTCTGGTATCGCAACACATGGATTGGGTGTTACCGAGGCGTATGAAGGATATATTAAAGACATGGAGGAGAAAGTTTCGAGACAAGAATAACAAACTTGTTTGGGATCTTATTCCGGGCTGTATCGTTTGGTGTGTGTGGAGAGAACGGAACAGTCGATATTTTGAAGGCCAATCACGGACAATAGAGCAGATTAGGGAATTGTTTTATTTTACATTGTACACTTGGTTTAATGTTGCGGCTACTAGGCATATAGATGGGTTGCCTAATTTCATGTTGTTACTTTCCGATTTAAGTTGATAATACACTTCCTGTGTATTATGCACTGATTAATAAAATATTTGATTACCTTTTAAAAAAAAAAAAAATTCTTGTAACTTAAGCAAAAAAAGTGGGATTTTGAATGGCAATTTGGGGATTGATTTATGTTGTACTATGTTTAGACAGTTTTTGATGATGATTTTGTTATAGTTTAATTTGATTTCAGTTAAGAGATTTGATATAATGATGTCAAATGGTATTTTATACTTTCTGAATTTTAACCTCTCAAGAAAGAATGTAGAATATTGTTTCTATAGCGTAGAGAAAATGGTCATGTACTTTTTCATTCCGTGAACAAGGCTAAGATTGTATTGATAATGTTCGCTCTCTTCTATGATTGACTTTTTTTGTTTGGGGACTAGAAGTTCAAAATTTGAATTTCTTCTAGCGTCTGCTTATCTTTTTTCCAAGGAGAAGTAAATTAATTCCCCTTCTCAATAATAATATTTTAGTTGCATAGAAGGAGATATCTTCTATCCTTTTTCTTAAAGCCAACAAAAGTATCTTTGAAATTGAGTCATCACCGATGACTATTTTGTATTTAGTCTCGGTTTGTTTTTCATTCTTTCAAAGCGTTTTTTGCTACATATTCATCACAACCACACATTCACACAATAAAATATTCTACACATAAATTCAAAATTTTTTTCTACTTTTTAATCATGCATTCTCCAAAAATTCATTACACAAAATAATATTTTTCCAAAAAAATGGCCACCAAAAAAGAGAAATTGTACTCTCACTGAAGAGTAAGAATTTTAACATTTATGTTTGATAGACCAACATGACTAGCTAACTAGTTTATAAATACAGCAATATAGTTTTTTTGTAATATGCATTTAGCTCACTCGAGTAGTAAGCAAAAAAGTACAATACCTTAATTTTAGTAAACATTTTGATATGTGTTTCTAATTCTTAGTCATGATTCCCATTGTACTTTGAAAGGAATGTCGTTTATAACTGTAGGCTTCTATTAGCTACTGTTATGGGTAACTAATTAGCTGTTTTAGCTTGTGGTGTTAAGTACAGTCAATATAAATTTCATTTGATTTAGTTAATGGATTTGGTAAAAGGAATCATACAGTTGGTAACTAAAAGTTTTTGAATGATAACTTCTCTAAGGTTAATGAAGGAAAAATTTATGTTGCATATTTTTCTTCTTCTTCTTCTTTCTTTCTTTTTTTTTTCTTTTCTTTTTTGTTTTGGGTTGGTTGATTTGGTTTTGAATATGAATTATTCACTGCACAAATAATTATGTCCTCGTCATTGCAAGAGGAAGGAAAAGGTGTTCCTTTTATGTTCTGACAATGAGGGATTTTTTTAAAGCCTGCAAAAAGTTGCCGTTGTTGCTCTCACCTTTATCTCAGCTCTTTTTCAAAAAATTCTTCGTTTTCCTTCAGCTTTTGTCTTTGTTGTTAAATAAAAGAGGAGGCACTTCTGAAAAATTGAGTTATTCAATGATGAGGAGTCTGTATATTCTATTTGCAAGGTGAAAGATGAGAGAAGGAAATTCATCTAATCGCATTTTTAATTACGATTATGCTCGAACGTTTACCTACAAAAAGTTCATCGATATTCCATGGAGAGAGAGAGATGGTACATTTTATTTTCGGATACATAACTCACTGTGTTATGTCATGTCATGGGAGTGTTCTATGCATTATGAAGCCGGCTACATTAGTTCTCAACAGAGTACTGATTGTGATATATGTTGCTGATACTTCCATTACTGTTTTCATTGTGCTTGACTGTCTTTTGTAACACTAAGCTTCCGTATGCATAGGCCAGGCCATACACTAAGGAGGGAAAGTCTGCGTCTTCTACATTTTCCTTCATTCTCCCCTCAGCTGGTTTTGATTGGTTTAGATCAGACAACCGCAATAATGAGGTCAAATCACTTGAATCACATTCTTTTAAATGGAGAAGTAAAAGTTTTTCATATAGAGATAAACCCATGGACGGATACTCGGAATGTGAGTATCGTTGTGAAGAAAATGGAGAAAATGGCTCCATCAGGAGCCCAAGTCAAAATAACAAATCAAGTCCTCGCTTGGGAAATGGAGAACCTGGCTCTGGGAGGAGCACTTGTAGCAGCACTGATGTATTTGAAGATGCTGCTGATTCATATAGTTTTGACGAGACCATGCCCAACCTCACTGTTGAATCCCTTTTCATTTCCCCAGATTTATACGAGTTTTTCAATTCATCCCTTCCAAATATAGTGAAAGGTTGTCAATGGATCTTGTTGTATAGGTACATCAACTAAAATGTTTGCTTTTGCTGTAGTTACTTTTGTGTTTTCCGTAATTGGATTTTGATAAATGCTTTATATCTATTGAATGAAGCGCAGTTCCGCAAGACATGGTATATCACTTCGAACACTCATTCGTAAGAGCGCGGGTCTCTCTGGTCCATGTCTTTTGGTACGTTTGCATTTATATTGGTAAAACTGCACCACCACTTGAGTGAGTGGCAAGTTGGTCCTAAATCTTTCATTATAAAGAACATTCAGTCTGGACAAAACTGTCCAAGTCTTCGTAAATCATCCAACATGGCTCTCATGAATTTTGGGCACCAACTCTAGTTGTGAAAGAAAATCTAGCTTCAAAAAGTTGGAAATAAAAGAACTGTGTACAGTTTTACTGTGATTTGGATGGTTTCCATAATTGGGGACTGATTTGTGCAACTATAATGAAAGTTGAGGTCCAGCTTGCTCCTTTTTGAAGGTTGAGGATCAACTTGCTTCTCAGGGAATAGATTGGGGACCGATGGTGCAGTTTTCCATTTATATTATGATCAAACCAACTCTAATACATGTTTTAACTCTTTCTTCTGTAAAACTGAGCCCTCCTTTATGTGCAGATTACTGGTGATAAGCAAGGTGCTGTATTTGGCGGGTTACTTGAATGCCCCCTGAATCCTACTGCAAAGAGAAAATATCAAGTAAATCATATGCTTCCATCTACTAGAAGTGATGTTTGAATAAATTTATATAAAATCATGGCATTTTCTGCCCTTTTACATTCTTACCATCTATTTATAGCTTGTTGACAAGCTCCTCCACCAACTAATTTTGACAGGGAACAAATCAAACATTTGTATTCACAACCATTTATGGTGAACCAAGGCTGTTTAGACCTACTGGTAAGAATGTTACATACAACTGTTTGCTTCCTTTTTTCAATTAAACTGAGCTGTTTTGCTGTGTTCCTTGGTTTTCCTTTTCAAACTAATTCAATTGTCTGCCAATGGCTCAAATTATATACTGAAACAGACTTGACAATATTATGGTTGAAAAACCGAACTTATTTTATTGTATTTGTTACAGGATTTGGTTATTAATTTTGAAGAACCAGTATTTTCAGTTACTGAAATTGAATTTGCATGCCCAACTTATGAATCTTCTGTTTGATTATGATTTGATCCTATGATCCTTACACGTATGTTATTTCTCACACATTCACATGCTCTACAAGCACATGTTTCTGTCAGCACTGCAGGGGCTGTGTAATACATATTGAGGGTGTTGACGTTAGATATGGGAAAGAAATAATGCTTCGTCGAACTAATCGAATTCTAGAAATACGCTAATATATTCAATCTTTACTTGAACAGGCGCCAACAGATATTTTTACTTGTGCTTGAACGACTTGATTGCACTCGGAGGGGGTGCAAACTTTGCTTTATGCTTGAATGAAGATCTGTAAGTTCTTTGTCAAGCATACTTTGAAATTGTTTGTGTTGTTAATGTCACCTGTAAAGAATGTAAATTTCCTGACCTCATTACTGTTATTTTATGAAGTTTATCTGGAACCAGTGGTCCATGCGAAACATTTGGGAACTTGTGTTTGGCCCATGATCAAGAGTTCGAATTAAAAAATGTTGAGGTAATAATTGTTTTCCTAAACGCCCCGTCATCAATTTTATTAAGATAATTATTCTTATTATCTACCTAGCTTTATAATAGGCAAAACATCAATAAAATAGAGTTCATGATATCTAGTTTTTCACAGAAAATTCACTTCGAGGGTTGGTCATGTTTGGCTAACCTATTTTGCCAAACAAGTTTGAAATTTGTTAGAAGTTACTCTTTGTTTTGGTTTTTTCAGTTCTGAGACTTAATTTTTGGAAAGTAAACCTTTACTTCTTAAAAAATATACTTTTTTTCAAGCTTAGCCAAATGAGCTCAACTTTTTCAGTTGTTGCACCAGCAAGTCATTTTCTTCTACCCCTGCCCAGGATGCTGTTAATCTGTTATTGTACCCATGAAGTTGGTTTTTGCTGTGTTGCGACTCTATTAATAGCATGTGTCCCCAACTATTGATTCCCTTGCGGTAAAGATTTTTTTTATGGCAGACAATAAATCTGGACTTTTATTGCAATATTTGAAAACTGCTTGTCAGGGAAAAAAATGGTCATCTGCAAAGATCGAACTTTTAGAACATGTTTGGAACACACTTAAGTTTCTTTCTATTTCTTAATACTGGTCAATGATGGACAGCCTATCTTGCCAAATGAACCATTAATGTAGCTTAATTGTTTTTGAAAGTGATTGTTATATTCTGAATTGTCATTTCAGTTTTTGTGTTCATAGAACTTGTGGTTTTAACCTTATTTTTGCCCCTTTTCTTCTCTTTGCAGCTGTGGGGTTTTTCACATGTTTCTCAATACCTTAATTGAAGCAGCTAGAATTCAGATAAGTTTTATCTAGATTATCCATACTTTTAACAGTCCTTTTGGTCTTTAGTGAAAAATGTTGAAGTAGTTCCTCCATTTCGAGGATAATTTGTTCTGTACACGTTTATATTGTTGCTATGGTAGGTAACCATTATTCTTTTATCACATTTTTTATTCAAGATATGTTAATTTGCATGTAAGAAATAATTTGCTTACTTGTGTCACATGCCTTTCAAGAATGCTTTCAGTCGATAAAATTGTATCATGAGACCTTTTTACATTGTAAGCACTATTCATATATGAAAATCTCCACAGAAGCCTAATACTTTACAAGTTCCAAAATTGTATTTACAAATGCTTAGCAGTATAACAGCAAAGATAACTCAATAAAACATTCAACAGGGTCATATTTCACAAAACAGCACAGCAAACATGTTAGTCTCCACCGTTTTCTATTCATTTTTGCATACAAATACTCAAAACGGATTCGACCACACACATCTAAGAGTTGTCACTTGTGTTTGTCGAGGGCTTCCCACTTGAAGTACTAGTTGTTGGGGTTTCTGTTGCTGCAGCAGACTGACCTTTGCTGTTCAGTTCATCAAAATTTGCTGGATCTAAATAAGACTGGTGTGGAGGCATCCTTGAAAGCAAACGACAAAATTAGCTGTTGCACGGCATATAAAAACAATAACATAGTTTTCTGAAAATTGACTCCTTTGTACCTGCTTGCTGTTATGGTCTGGCCATCTATATTCATCTTCACGTCAAATATATTGCCTGCAAGAATGGCCAAATTTTTTACTACAAGACAAAATAACCATATCGAACACACTAGCTTCAGATTTCCAGCAATCATTATTGATATGGTATACAAAGCTTAGGAAAAACAAAGTAGACAAAACTTTAGTGGTATCAAAGAATGTGTAAACCATTTCTCAGTCTAGTTAATATGGGATTTGAGAATAGATGTTTGGCCTGTAATATGCTATTCGGGGAACACATACAGAGTGCAGATTGTAACTGAGTAAATTTCCTGTAGTATAAGTGTATTTCAATCCACATTTTCAGACTTGTGAACAGAGTCTAGTGTTTGTTATATCCAGGAAAGGTATTTACCTCCAAAGATAGTTTTGTCAGAGAAGTATTTTGACATCATGTAACGTTTATAATCAGCCTCATATTTCCGGAATTTATCAATTTGTTCCTGGTTATCGATGTCCCTATAAAAACAACATGAAGACGATTAATAATTCCACACAAGAATTTAGTGACAGGAACTAAAAATGGCTACACACGAAATTCTGCAGCAACAAATGAGCATCCCGAGAGAATGAAAATTACTATTCGGTGGGTAAAAAATAGAAGTATGGATTTCCTCACCCATGGAAAAGAAGGGGAAAAAAAAGAAAAATCTATTTTTCTTTCCTGACATAACTAGCATCTGTAGACTTTTAGCCTAAGATAGATACATAGCACAAAAAGCCAGAAATCAATCAGGCCTTAGACAACAGCCAAAAGCCCGTCTGATGTTCCCTAGTTCTTCACAAAAAGAGGTAAATTAGCTGACTAATCCTTAATCCTCCGTTTTAAGACTGTTCTATCAAGTCTTACGAGTACATACAGCCTTTTGTACTTGCCTTGGACTACCTAGAATAATAGGATTTTGAATCGTCCTCCTTTTACATATCAACATTTGTGTTATTATGATATTCGCACGAGAGAGAAATTTTCAAATGTCCTCATCTTCTTGAAACAACAAAGGTATTACAATTTTTACCCAAGCGTGGCTGGTATTCTTCGAAATTAAATTTCTGACTAGCCTAGTAGCTGATAAAACAAATGGATATATTAACCACGGCAATTCAAATTTCATATTGGAAGTTCTTATGAAGACAGAAAGTCTTTCACTTCCGCATTACAACTTCGCGTCCTGCACATGGCGAACGAAGGCAAATTCATTTGTGTAGATATGGGATTCCCATTCAGTATATCTAGTATGCTAGTATGCTTCATTTTCAATAATTACAGATGCATTGGCAGATTTTTGTTCTTCTGATTTTATTTATTTATTTCACTGTAAAAAGCAAAGAAAGTTGCTAGATCCCGTAATTCACCCACGTCTAGCAAAAGTAAAACTGAAAAAAAAGAGTTCATTCGAGTTGACATATGATAAGTATACTGTTACCAGAAACATGGCATGGGCCAAGACATATCTAACCACATTGATATGAATTTCTAGTGAACATTTAAGACATTTTTCTATTGTCCCTTGAGAACATTTAGTCATTTACCCATTTCTTGGATTAAATTCATCAATCCATTTAGTTCATTGCTCCCATTTTTATCACCATTTCTGTAATTGGTGCAGAAAACTAATTGAAAAAAGGTCGTGATATTTTAAGCTCAAAGACCCCCTTCAAAATAAAATCCCTTTCAAGGTAAAACAAAAACTTAAAATTGATTTTCTAAATAATGAAATACAATTGAAACCAATTTTTTTTTTTTTTAAATGATTTTTTCTTAAGTAAAGGTGTGTACATGCACATCGACGAATCACAAAGAATTACAGAAGATGCTTGTAAACATCTAATTAAAAGAAATTCAACCAATTCATTATGCCGTAGGTTTCAAGTAATCTCACTCAAATGGGTCTTTGGTGGATCCTTTGTTTTGCTCTTCAGAACCCTTAATTTCACTCGAAACACCCTTCAAAATCCAAAAAAAAAAAAAATGAAAGAACGTGGTGATCACTGATCACACATCTAGAAAAATTATTAAGAAAAACCTAAACTTAAAATGCGGCCAGATTGTGTACAAGGAGATGAAGAAACGCACCTGTTGTTGTTTGGGTAAAGGAGGAGGAGGAGTGAAGGAGGACACGGAGTTTGAAACGGAGTTAGAGGATGAAGCCGCCGCCGCCGCCATTGAGTGAAGGCTGAGTGATAATTTCGGAGAGCAAAGGAAGAACACTTTATATGACTTGTGATGGCGCCTTTTACAAATTGTTGTTGCATAAATAAAAGGGTAAATTCCTCAGTACCTAAACCTCGTATGATCCTGAAATTTTTTAAAACGTGCACTCATAGGATCCCATACGTACGTAGGGTAGGATCATTCATTCAAATTAGGACACTTCAAATCTTGAATTATCTAAACTGCAATACCTCAATGTAATAAATCGTAAGAGACAGAAACAAAGTGAGTGTGTAACGTCAATATATTATAATTTGAGTAACTCGAGATACGAGATGACATAATTTAAATAGACAATCATATTACATGTGTACATAACTGATTTCCCATCCATAATAGACGGGACATATCTTGCCCATCGGTGAGGTGGCAAGATCATGATACATCTTACCACATTACCGTTGGGCAAGGGATCAGTTCTATACTGGTGCGTAAAGATGGTGAACAGGAGATGAGTCTTGTATATTTACATATAGGATAACGCTACCAAAACTTCTCTCCGCCCGTAGGTGCCATCAAATCAAATGTGTGCTTTTAGCCTTTTAGATAAGCCAATGAGTGGCTCACCAGCCAACAAGTTTTGAGCCTACTCACACGACCATTGCCATTTCCCTATCGGGGCAGTCATTTGGGCCCATTTTGATTATGTTATCACAGAGCGGGCAAGAAATTCCTTTTGCCCAGATGCTGGCAAATCCCTTGTTGAGGAATGGAACCCAGCTTGCCAAGGCGAATGGCATTTGAATTGATGTCACAAAATGTGTACGAAGACATTTCAGTGTTGTCGTCCCAAAGTTTTTCCATCCATTATGATTTCTGGACAAGTAAAGCGCTAAAAGACGATATTCAAAGACTCCCCATGTAAAGCACAGTACAATTGTTTGCATAGACGGAATAACAATTCCAACGTCTTATACAGAGGGAAAACATGTTTTCCATGTTTTAACTCGTACAAATCCAAAAACTAGAATTCAAATTGTTACAGAACAAAAAGACAAATCCGCGAAAGAATGCTAGACCAAGTAGGCAGTATTTCAGATATATTACTCATCCTCACTGACATAGAATTGAGCCGAAACCAAGTTTGAAGTAGATTATGCTTTCAACTTTTACTACATCATAACCCCGGCAACAGAAACTGCAACAACTGCAGGGATAGATACTAGACTCGGTCTTGCCAGAAGTGCAAACATTGCTTTACAATGGCATTGCTTTACAACTCAGATGAATCATCTTCCCCGGGCTGGGGCAACCCAAATATTCTGAGGTTTCTGTCCATAGATCCAACAGCTATGTAGTTTGCATCTGGACCAAACTTTACACATGTTGCTTTACCTGCATTCACGGTAAGTGACTAAAATAAACTCTACAGTTTGAGCTAGTTTTTGCTCCATATAGAAATAAATTACTATATCAAAAAACAGGGACGTTGTATTAGAACATTCTGGATAATACAGTGGACAAGACTTTCTTACCATACCAAACATGCCATTAGTTAAAATGCCAAGTCTCTGAGGTGCAAAAGGTTATTGGTAAAAGACAGTGAGAGGATCTAACCTGTGCCTGATAAGTCGGGAAAGGTTTTGATGCAGTTCCATTCAGACTTGACGTTGGCAACTTGATAAACTCTGTCATACCACAACACAGACATTAGCTTGTAAGATCACAACGAAAGCTGACGTATACACACTGAAATATGAATAGCAGTCATCATGTGTATGGCGAGCACAAATATCATTTCAAGTTCTTGGAATACACAAAGACTGGTCGAGAAATGGAAATAATTAATAGCACTATGATTTTATCTTGATATATCACCGTATATCTGAGCCTCCAAGTGCAAGATAACTTCCACTATGGTCAAATTCCACTGCAAATTCAGAAAGAAAAGGTGAGAAGCACATTTTCGAAATAAAAAAAAATGTATAAAACTCACAGCTGATACAAGTGGTCCTACAAAATTCTGAGGATATCTTCTCTTTCTTTTATTTAATATATAAATATAAAGCATGGACATACGTAAGAATTTCAAATACTGCTGACAATCAACAGCGAGAGACCACAACTTTCCGGAAGTTTTGATCTCATAAAACCAAACATAAGGTAAGCTAGACATGAAAGAGGTAAAAGCACCTGATTGTGTTGGTGTATTTTCATCGTAAGGAGTGAAAGTCCTAAAGTTCTTCAATTTGCGCAGATCCCAAAGCTTAACACCATCTTGAGCTGCAGTCTGGAAAATTGGAACACGATCAGACAATGGAATTAATCATTTTCAGCCTCGCTGTTTATGTTCCTTGTAGAAGAAAAACCTACAGCTAGGAAGTAACCATTCTCCGAAAATGAAATTGCAGTTACTGCCCCAACATGCCCATCAAATCTCGCAACATTAGCCTACACATGAAACCCAAAAAATTAATACTAATTATGGACCAGAAAGAAATGGAAGAAAGTTTAATCTGGTCATTAGAAGTACAGCCACACCTGAGTTTTCACATCCCAGATCTTAACAAGAGACCCAGAAGTACCGGTTCCAAGGATGAGACCATCAGGATGAAAAGATGCAGATGTGTAGCCTTCAGAAGATCCCGAAGTGTCTTCAACCTGAAAAATAACTTATAAATGCCCCAAACCAGAAGTAGCCATATACCCATATAAACATACGACTGATACGAGTCAGTACACAGATTCATGTAAGAATTGGGAGTGCTCTGACCTGAGCTAGACATAAACCCGATGCAAGTTCATAGAAGCACCATGTGTTATCAAGAGAAGCTGTCACGCAGTAGTTATTGGTGGCATGGATTGTAACAGCTTGCACCTGTCATGATTCGCAACTATGTTAGACTTGAATTAGGTGAAATGCAAGAATAAATTTTAACTCGAATAGAATTGGTGAGCTGGCACTAAAAAATCATTGAAGTAGGCTTATTAAAAAAAAAAAGTTCAAATTTGCTAAAGACAACAAAATCTTGGATTTGCCGTCAATTCAGCGAGAGAGAGAGAGAGAGAAACCTTAGTCATATCATATAATAACTGAGCACAACTTTATAAAGGAGACAACCCAACCCAACCCAACCCAACCAAAACAAAGGCAACAAGGACCAAGGCACATTATAACCCCAGTTCCCCCTCTCAATTACTTCACTCAAGTTGACCATTCTTGTATAATGAGCATACGTGAATAATTTTCTGACTTCACAATATATCTAGCACCCAAATGGCTGCATATGTAAAAATGAACGTAAACTAACATGACTTAGTCTAACTGAAAGCAACCCAGAACTGGAAATTTTTTAATTTATTTAGATGAAGATATCCATAACCCAGACCGTCGAGATTCACGTTTCCCTGCAGACTAAGTTTCGCATCTAAGGCAATATATCTGGATGACTGACGATGAACAACCCTAAGAAGGAGCTTTTTCACGTAAGTCAGACACGAGCAACCTATACAAGTACATTTATTTGATGTTAATTAAGATTTGGGTTGTAACAAACTAACAAATCTCCGTTAGATGCCCCATCACTACCTGAAAAGCCTATAAAAGACTGCAATGGTAAAAATGGATGAGAATTATTTATAATGTTTAGACATAATGCAATATAAGGATAAAAAGGTCTTTAGGTCTTTCTATATTGCAGAAGTACTCTTCCGAGCCTATCAACATGCAACTGTTGTAATAGACTAATAGTTCAAAGTTGAGACCTAGTGAAGTCGTCAATAATGGTAGCTAATTAGTACCCTTTCAGTATATGTTGTGAACACATTTTGGCCTCTCACATACAGCAATGCCGATACACAAAACACACAGTGGTCTCTCACCACAGCCTTGCTTAGCATGATTCAAGGATACACCATCTAAATTGATCAACAGCAGCATTGAACTAAAACACCAAAGTAGCAGATACTAATGTAACTTACACAACACTAGATGAATTTAGCATGCTAACATAACAATCCAATACAAAAAAATTTAGATAATATTTTAAATAGAATCCACTACAAGCATCTAGTGTCCTTACATGTATAGGCATCCAGTGATAAATATCCAACTAGATGATACATGGACAGTTATCATATTTCTCAAACATGTTTTTGTTTATACATTTTACAATAAAAAAAGGAGTTTAATGTACTACAGCATCCAAATGGACTCCCATTTTGACTAAGAAATTACTGAACAACATGTTCGAATGTGCAGCACATGAATACGTCGAATGCAAATGTCAGGCCGCATATTCATCCCCAATAAAATGCAGTGTACCGCATTGAAGACAAGATTCAAATAACTTGTCCTAGTTCAACATTGTATCAGAGAGGACAAAGGCAAAGATCCGGTCCTAGTTCAACATTGTATCAGAGAGGACAAAGGCAAAGATCCGGAGCTTAAGTCTTAACACCACCCAGTTAAAAAATTTGTCCACCTGACCTTTAATATAAAAATGAATTGGCCTGAAGTTGAGGGGCATTTTGACAACAAGATTTAAATAAATAAAATTGTCCCACCTCCAAAAGCTTGAGCTCTTAGAAAAGATCGTTCAAACTGAAGATATTTGGAGATGTCCATGCAAACACACATTCATTGGCAGAAAAGGAAAGCTGCTTACCTCAGCGCTGTGATCCTTCAAAATATGACAGCAATCGTAATTTCCATCTTCAGATCCTTTCCATACACGAACTGTCTGCAAAGAGCAGAACGGGTGTACTGGATTTAAAGCAAACAAACTAAATTGAAGAATACATCAAGGTATATGGCCATATATAAAATAAATTGAAGTCAAAATCTTGTAATCATTATTAGTTAGATTGCAGACAATAGCAATCAATCATAAAGTGCAATGAAAAATCAACCAATATCATGTTGACATTTTTTCTGTTTGTTTAGTCGAGTTGTTTTTGCTTATAATCACGTGTTTTCTTCCTTTTTTTCTCTTTTCTAACTTAGTCCATAGGTATACTTGTTGACAGGTGTTGCATCAAAGAGCAGAGTGCATGTCAGGTTGCTCCAATCAAACCCAAAAACATAAAAGAATAGAGAGTGCAACTCAAATTGACGAGACATTTCAGCCTAACCATCCTTTTAAAAGCTCCCATCCTGTACAGGTCACTCAAAATATTTGACTTGGTCATTTCCTTCTTTTAATCAAAGTGAGATCTAATCCACCTATATTTAGATGTAGCTATGTCTCAATGTAGCTCTCCTTTGGAAAGGGTATTCAGGGCACGCAGAGCTACAACAACAAACTAAGCCTTGTTCCAATAAATTTGAATCAGCTACGTGAAAAGCATACAAACCTAAGTTAGGAGACCTATTTACATGGCTGAACCTACATAGAGCTTCATCACAAAACCCTATAAGTACAAAAGAATAAAGCGTTTGAAGTTCCATCTAAATTCATTTCAACAAATACAAATAACAAGGCTACAAAACGAATTCGGTACAACATAATATGCGCTCCTTGTGAATCTAGGGAATCGTGAATGAATATTAACAAGTACTAAGATTCAATCTAAATTCATTTCAACAAATACAAATAACAAGGCTACAAAACGAATTCGGTACAACATAATATGCGCTCCTTGTTAATCTAGTGAATCGTGAATGAATATTAACAAGCACTAAGATTCATCCCAATTCTTGATTTGAGCTTATTCACCTTTCTGATTCCAGTGAATCAGATTTAATCACGTGGTCATGATTTGCACAATTGACTAGTATCTTCAAACTGAACAAAAAATCCCTCAGGTGAAGTTTGGAGGTTTATAAGTTCAACCCAATTCCCAATTACTGACAGAACTAAAATTTTCCAAATCTGTAATCAATTGCTTAATCTGATGTTCAAATAGATATTTCCTGCTCCTTATGTGTGTATATATCTAAGCCAAAAGGATGTACAGGAGAGAATAATTAGAGTTTCAAAACAAGCGATCTAATTATTCAAACTAAGCCTTTAATTTCATCTCAAGTGCCAACCAAAATGCTTCCCTGGCCCTTGCATTGATTACTTAGTTACAACTAATAAAATATAGTGGAGCAGCCTGCTTATTCAGAAATTGTGAAAGCCCAAGCAAACGAATATAAACTGAAAAGCACGAACAACGAATGGGCAAATACAATAATCATGTAATAGGAAAAAAATACAGAAGTGTTCTTGCAGTGAGTATTAAATTTACCTTATCAGCAGAGCTGGTAACAACTACTTCACCCTCAGCCACAAATTTGACGCTCGTAACCTATTTATGAGAAAACATCCAGCACACATTCAATCAGAAAGCAGAACCAAAATAATATAAGAAAAGAAAATAAAGATGGTTATTACCTTCTTTGAATGACCACTGAGTGTAGATATTATCTGCCCAGAAGGTCTATCAAAGACTACAGCATTTGAATCAACCCCAGCAGTGGCAATGATGTCCTAAAACAACAAACCAGACAAAATAGGTCGTAATATGATATGTCCAATACTCTGTTTAAATGGTTAATTTGATCCATCAGAAGAACACCGTGATTATAGCAACAAAATTCAAGAAATCACCACTACAATGTCATTTATTTACAGGAGCACCTAGAGCCTGAGTCAATGTTTAAGTTTCAAATCAGGGTCTGAAGCCTTGATTATTAAATGGTCCCAAATCTACTACAGGTAGTTGCGAATATATACAGAAACAAAAAAAACTTTATGAGTACACTGCTAAGTCCTGCCTACGAGGTTAATGAAAAAGCTAGTATGGAAGAAAGGATACAAAAAGTAAAAAATAAAATAAATACCTTGGAGTGCTGGATGTCCAAAGATAATATGCCAGGTTTGTTTGTTCGATGAAGAGGATAACTATTGAGTTGAGTGTATCTCTCCAGAGATTCAATGGGAGCCAGTGTTGCAGGTATCTGGAAGAAGAGAAAAACACAGGAGCACTTAATAATTATCAGAAAGTAGTTTTAATATCAAATTAGAATACATGGTCATTCCTATTTTGTGAAGCCACAGGTCTACACTACAGACATTACCTGCCGCTTTTTCCTTTGTTGTGAAAGAGCAGCATTACAGTCCGTAAGCTCAGAAATTATAGCACTTGAGATTCCTGGACGGATTTTTTTCCCATCTGGACCCATTCCATCATCCTCGGCAGCTACAGAGACGGTAAAAAACAGAAATAAGAAATCGAAAGTACACAGGTTAAATAGAATGAGCTGAAATACACAAAAGCTAAGAACCTCTTTTCCCATTGCTTAAGGCAGCAGCATTAACTGCATCTGGTGCTGCTAATGGCATGGGTATCTGTCTTTCAGCCTGTGCCAGTAATGCACGAGCCTCATCCCTTTCCTTCTTCAGCCTTGCAATAACACGACATGCAGCATCATGCTGCATAGGCAACATAGACATCAGTGGTCAAAGTGAGGCAGCATGCAACTAAATGCATGTATAGGCGAAAATCTCGCAAAAAACAATTATGTATTTTTGCATTCATTTACGTCTAATCAAAATATACTTTTGGGAAGTTCAATGGTATGAAGAAAGAGCAAGTAATTTAGTCAGGAAACGGGATGAAATTAACGCAAAGAACTAGAAATATTAGTTAAAGTACATTGCATACGCAATCATTCTATGTTCAAGCTCAGAAAAAGTGCAATGAAAAGCAAATAACAATCTAACTGAAAGATGTTACTGCTGGAATGAAAAATAGACTTTTTCCACAAAAGAAGCGACACAGTAAAAGCTAAGAAAATCAATTAGCATCTAGCTACTCATTATTACCTGGTACAAGGCATGACTTAGCTCTTGTCTTGCGGTGTGTAACTGTTGCTCCAAAGCAAAATTAGATAGCATCAAACCGTCCCATTCCTAGTTTGAATCAAACCAGTTAAGCGTCAAGAAGTATCAATCAGGCAATAATAAAGAATTTTAACTCCATTGATACATCTGTTTAGAAACAGGGTATTTTGTATGTAGTATGTTTAGAAAGTTGATGCTCGAACCGGTAAAATGTAGAAAGTAAGAAAACCTAACGAAAGAACAAGAGAGTGAACAGTTATTTCATAGAATGTACGCTACAAGAAACTGCTAGAAACTAGCCAAATAATATAGGTCACTTGTTTGGCACGTGTTTAAATTATAAACACCATTGGTCAAACCTACTTATTCAGGGGCGGACCCAACTAAAGCCCAGTGCAGATGCCTGCACTGGGATTTTGGCCGCCCCAATTTTTTAAACAGCTCTTTTTCAAAAAAAAAAAAAAGGAAGTGAGCCAATTATTTGGCCCAAACTATATGATAGAAATATAACCAATCTATTACAAGAATCCAATTGGAAAGCATTCACCCCGACTCCAGCCTCCCAACAGAAGAATTGAAAAAAACTGTGTTGAAATCTCCAATTTCCAGTCTCAGATTCATGAAATCGATGATGATAAAAAAAAAAAAGGGAAGCCGTGGGTATCTCATATGTGAACCACAGAACCATGCCCGCGGCGAGCAGCGTTCATCTTGTGGTTATTTCATTATTGTATTTGCTGTAATTTTGGGTATTTTGATTTGTGGTTGCTTTTGATTTGTCTCCAATTGGGTTAAAATTTGAGGCTCTATTAAATTGTGTTTGTGTTGCAAGGTATTAAGGATGCAAATGCATTGAATTTTTCATTATGTTTTTATGAATTTCTCTTGATGACCATCTTGCACAAGTTCAAATTGGATTGTGAATAATTGGGGTTTTTTTTTTTTGATAGATAATCACGTAATTTTAAAATGAAGATCAAAAGATAATACACAAAGAGTGCATTATCAGTTTAAACAAGATAGGAACGATAAAAAATTCGGCAACCCTTCTATCGGACTAATGGTTACAGCCTTAAACCAACTATACAAAGTCAAGTAAAACAATTCCCTAAATTGCTCTGTCGTCCGTATTTGGTCTTCAAAGCATCTGCCGTTTCGTTCTCTCCAAACACACCAAACGATGCATCCGGGAATGAGATCCCAAACAAGCTTACTATTCTTATCTCGAAACTTTCTCTTCCATGCCCACACCACCTCCTTGATACACATTGGCAACACCCAACTCATATGTTGCGAAGTCAGGATATCATTCAACATCCAACGAACACCGTCACAGTGAATGAACAAATGATCGATCGTCTCGCCATCCCTCTTACACATATAGCACCACTCCGTAACACAATAGCCCTTCTTCGAAGATTATCCGCTGTTAACACCTGTCCCCTTTTGAAGACTCTGCTTTAGGCATTGATTTTGGTATTGGGATTTGAAGTAAAAAGGTCTAATTTTGCATCTTTTCTCTATTGGGTTTGAAGAAATTCTGGGAATTTTCTGGATTCTCAACTACTGATTGCTGATGAAGATAGTAGGTTAGGATATGTTATTAAATAGAGGTAACAAAAATATCAAAGTATGAATACTCACAAAGAACAATTGTAATGTATTTCATTTTAGTATAATGTTTGTGTTATAATTTTATTTTATTTTTTTTAACTATTACTAATACCGCTCGCACTGAAAAAATTTCTTGGGTCCGCCCCTGTACTTATTCACACATTCGTGAGACACACGAGCAATGTCCACTTGTCTATCAATCATTTTTATCTATTTATAATCTAAACCGATTATAAACAATTCTCAAACGTGCTTTAAAATGGATCAAATTTTCCGGCAGAATAGTTTACATGATAACTAGGAAATTTGTGCTAACCATTCGAGTTGCTTGTCTAGATTCAGAATCCACATATGCGCAAAAGTAGAATTATTGAATTGAACTTTGTATAAAACTCTTTTAGCACAATGAAGTTACAATTATGAATTATATTACGATCTTCACAAATCAGTGAACTTCAATCTTTTATAATCCATCTGTATCACTTAAATATACCAAGAGGTAGAGAATGTAGCTGTTCCATCGAAAATTAGCAGAAGACGGAAGCCATAAGTGGCGAGGGAGATGGAAACTAGAATCTGGGACCCACTTTTTGAGGGGAAAGGACCAACGAACTTCTTAAGCCAAACCGTAACTCGTGTCTTCATTAAACACAATCTCAAAAATAATTCTACACCGTTATATAATGACCATACATCCTATTAGAAAATGATGCAGGGTGACAAGTGAATGTTAAAAGTTGGAGAAAGATCCGTTAACAAGAGTTAAAAATCCAAGGAACAGAAACACGTACAATTTGAAACATTCCTAGCATCCCAGGAATACTAGCAGCTTGAACTGGACGAGGCTTCACAATCTGCCCAGAAATCCAATAAA